CTGCTGAACTTAGCTCAGCATCCTGCTCAAATTGCGCTGGCTTTTAACTGTCCCGCTTTAGTTATTCTAACGTCTGTGGTGTATGATTAAATGGGTGTGCTAGAGAAAGGAGATAGCAGGCTCCAACATATTAGCGTTTTGGTGAAGGACAAGAAAATTGTTAGATTAGGTCAGCAGAGCTCTGGTAGGTCATATGTGAACTTTTTCTGAAGTAAAAAAAAAGTCTGGGAAAATTCGGGTGTTTTTTTTGGGGGGGGGGGGGGTTAAACTGGAGAAGTAGGCTTGTGGACTTCCTAGGGAAGTGCTGTCTAGCTTTCTTGAAGCTATGCTGAGTTCTGTGCTGAATTGGGGCACCTTTTTAGGACAGCTGCACTGCTTTCCAAAGTTGTGTGGACACTGCAGCAGCCCATAGGGCTAAGTAACAGGGGCTGGACAGATCCAGCACAGGAGCAAGAAGCTAGAGAGCTTTAATTTAAGGTGTGAGCTAATCAGAAAGCTGTATTTAAATATATGGCCCTTTCACTTTTTTTTTTTGTATTTACAGAAAAGATTCAGCTGCATGATCTGAGAAATTCTTGGAAGCAAAAAGGAAGAGAGCAGGACTATCGTTATGTCTGCTGCTAAAGAAGAGGATGTCTGTAGTCACGTGAAAGTGGTGGTCCGTGTCCGCCCAGAGTCCCAAAAGGAAAAAGATGGCAACTTTAGCAAAGTGGTTCATGTTGTAGACCAGCATATATTGGTCTTTGACCCAAAGGAGGAAGAAGTTAGCTTCTTTCATGGGAAGAGACTAGCCCATAGGGATATCAATAAAAGAAAAAAGAAAGATCTTAAGTTTGTGTTTGATGCAGTTTTTGCAGAAAGTTCAACCCAGTTAGAAGTCTTTGAACATACTACCAAAAGTGTGCTTGATGGCTTCTTAAATGGATATAATTGCACAGGTAATTTTTTCTATTTGTCTCCTTCAATTCATTAAAAACCTCAGAGTTCTTGGAAGCTGATACTATTGTATCCAGGGCCCTTAAAAAAGAGTGGTGTTTAAATAGAACGCTTCATTTTAATTTATCGAAATAGCAGACTGACTTTTTTGTGTTATCCTATATAAAATAGGGTAGCTGTACTCTAGCTTTTGAAAATAAGTTCATGCTAGGGTTATGATAGGCTTCATAACTTTAAGAAATACAACGTATGGTTGACAGAAGTGCTCAAAAAAGTTATTCAACCAGAAGCGGCTTTTCACTGAGTGTGGTAACCTGTTTCATGAACTACTTTCTTTAAGAGCTTGTCTTTTTAATTAGCACTTGGAACATTGTGAGGATATGCGATACCTGCCTGCAATAAACTGATGGCTTAGGGTTATGAGAGCAAAGAAACAATATTTTTCATGCAAATTGACTGTGAATGAGTTTTATGCTCCAATTTCCACTTTAAATGTAATTCTGAAATAGGCTTTTCCCTTTAGTGCCATAATCAGAAAGCTAAGAGACTTGATCAGTTTATGAAAACAACTATGCAATATGATAGAGGTGTGTGAATGTCCGTTTGAATTTTGTAGTCCTCATTGGCTTACTGGTATAATAGCACTCTTTTTTTTTTTTTTTTTTTTTTTTTTTTAATGAAAACTTAGTGCTTGCATATGGTGCAACAGGAGCTGGCAAGACTCACACAATGCTAGGCTCCCCTCAAGATCCTGGGGTGATGTATTTAACCATGATGGCACTTTATAATTGCATGGATCAAATAAAAGAAGATAAAATATGCAATGTTGCTGTCTCTTATTTAGAGGTAAGCCAGTTCCAGCATTTGCTGCATTACTTTCAATAAGCCATGTTCTTATAAACAGTTAAGCTTTTTTTGTTTCGTTTTTTGTTTATTTGTTTTTTCTCCTTTAAGTCAACCATTCTGAGACTTGACAAAACAGGTCCTTGAAAGGACGAGAACAGAACTGTGCTCTGCAGTGTTTTTTATAGACACCTGTTACTATCATACAGAAGGCTGCTCAAAAAGGACAATCTCTTCTAATAGTTTTTATTAAACACTCTAATGAATTCTCTCTTGCTGATCAATTACATCTCCTTGAATATCTGTTAATGTGTACAAGGAAGTATCCTTTTGGGCATATGTTTCAGGGCTTAGCAATAAGGTCTTGTAATTACTGTGAAATCCCATAGGTCAATATCTGTTTCCTTTTTCACTATATTAATTTTTAAAGCTTTCTGATTAGTACAACTGTATCTTAGATTTAAAAAAAAAAAAATTAGAGCTGCTATGCCAATGGTTAGTTGTCTACAAATATTCCTTTCATTCTTTGTCAGTCTTTCCTCTTCTTCCTTTGTCTTTCTGCATCAAAGTCCTGCTTTTGCATGTAACTGTTTTTGTGCTGCTGTCATGCAGAAGTAACAAAATTAAATTACTGTTAACTTCAAGCTCTTACTAAGTCATGGTAGAAGAGTACTTATTATTTGGCAATGGCATGGAAGGAGGAGGGGGAAAGGTATGTTTTGCCATATGGTATTTCAAGTGCTTCCAAAGACCTGGAAACAAAATATGGTAATTAAGAATATTAGCAGAAGTGCATTTGGATTAAGAAATGTTGCTGTAGTATGTATTAAGATGTCTAACAGAGGAAAAAAAAATGCTATATATTCACACTTGCTCCAAAAATTAGTCAGTTTTTCTTTACTGGAAAGCATGACTCCCATTTCAATGACTAAAAAATATATGTATATTGAATGAATATTTTCTCTCAAGTTCAGTGGAGGAAAGCTGTT